GACCCTGTCTAAAGTAGATTTGAATCCTGTATTATGTCACCCTAATAAATTCAATTAAAGAAAAGAATTTGCTAAATTTGTTCTCTTTTAGGCATTCATTATTCCATGGCTATTGCTACTGTAGAATTATTCACAACCATATTTAATGCTCTAGAATTAACTCAAATAATTTCTTTCATACATTGCACAGGGAAAAATACAGATAAGATTCCCAGAGATGCCAAAACCGGTTTGGCTTAGTGGTAGAGCGTTGGCCTGTAGACTGAAAGGTCCCAGGTTCGATTCTGGTCAAGGGCATGTACCTGAGTTGTGGGCACATCCCCAGTAGGGGGTGTGCATGAGGCAGCTGGTTGATGTTTCTCTCTCATCGACGTTTCTAGCTCTCTATCTCTCTCCCTTCCTCTCTGTAAAAAAATCAATAAAATATATTTAAAAAAAAAAAGATTCCCAGAGATTTGCAGATATGCTCAAACATATCTTCAGGACTGGACAGGGGGCCAGCTGGGGTTAACTGATTCTAGGATTTAGAAATCCTAGGAATGGAACAATGACCAGAAACATGGCGGCTGAAAATTGGTGAGAATAGACTCATAAAAGTGCTGCTTAATTATTTGTTTGATTCACTAACAATTATTTACTATTACTACTGTTTAGATACCAAAGATACAGTAGTGAATAAAGTATATGTCTTGTCCTTATGAGTTTCTATGCTGGTAGGGAAGATGGATAGGAAGCACATAAATAGATAATAAATGTCAGTGACTAGAGTATGGGAAAATTTTAAAACAGGACAGAATGATATAATGTGAGTTCTGTTTTAAATAAGGTAGAGAGGAAACACTGAATTAATAACACTAACCATTGTATATAGCAGAAATAGAATTAGTTTCTGAGAGCCTCTGTTCACATTTGTGTCAATTGATCAACACAACCTTTTCTAATGTTTGTTTCTGTTTAGACACCTTATTTCAATAGAAAGATCATACCTCTCAATGACCAGACACACAACTAACGCCACTGCTCCACACAACTTCATGTTGTGCACCAATAAATGGCAATCAATGGTCTGTAGGCCTTGGCCCTTATGTGGCTCTCTGGCACTGGCCCCTGAAAGTGCTGAGCAGTTCTTTCAATACTGACCCCTGCTCCATTTCTCCTCTATCTTGCAAATGATATCCTCCCTAACTCTCAGTTCTTTTTTCTTTTTAAAATGTTTTTTTTATTGATTTCAGAGTGGAAGTGAAAAGGAGAGAGAATCATTGATTGGCTGCCTCCTGTATGCCCCCCACTGAGGATCTAGCCTGCAACCTGGATATGTGCCCTTAACCGGAATCAAACCTAGGACCTTTCAGTCGCAGGCCTACACTCTATCCACTGAGCTAAACCAGCTAGGACTCTAATACTATACTAGTATTCTCTGAAGCATGGAAGAAGCTGGAAAAAGTTAGGACTATCATAGGATAGCAACATTCTAGTTCACCAACCAAAGAGGTGTATGGCAAATTCAAATTTTTTACCGACCTTAGAGGAGAACATCATTTGGCAAGAGATAGGAGATAGTGGTACCACATAAAGAAATAAAGTAGCTTAAAAAGAAAAAGAAATAATTAGGGGGAGGAGGGCAGATGAAATGCAGGGAGGGAATTAAGAGTTGTAATTTGAAAATGTAGTGTTAGATGCCATTCAGGCGCTGTAGGAAGTTTGATAGTTGAAGCAAAATGATAGCTCAAGAAAACTGGGGCTGGAAAAGTAAATTTGTAAGTTAACAACATACATAGTTAGCATAAACATCATTGAAATAAATGACATCACTTAAGGATAAAGAGGTTAAACCTGGAACAGAGGTTAAAAATCATTTTCTTTTCTATGGTCCTTTTTAGAGATAGTTTCTAGAATTCATTCATTTATTCTTTTCTGTGTGATAGAAAAATGAGGGGGGAAATTATATATACTGACTTCAGAGAGGGAGGAGAAAGAGATAGAAACATCAATGATGAGAATCATCGATTAGTTGCCTCCTGCACGCCCCCTACTGGGATCAAGCCTGCAACCCAGGCATGTACCCTTGACCTGAATCAAACCCAGGACCTTTCAGTTTTTCAGGCCAATGCTCTATTCACTAAGTCAAACAGGCTAAGGCATGAGGAAAAATTTTGAATGGGTATTAAAGGGTTGTCAGGATCAAATCCCAATTCTTTTTGTTAGGAGATGTAAAACAATATTAACCCATTTAACTTATATAAGCTGGAAATTGAGTATTATTTTTGAGATTATTTTTAGGCAGTCTCTGGTTCTTATGTATTAGACATCTTTGATCTGAATAATGAACCATCCTTAGGGGAGGGAGGACTTTAAAAGTCTCTACCCTAACCCGGCTGGCGTAGCTCAGTGGTTGAGCATCAATCTATGAACCAAGAGGTGACGGTTCCATTCCTGGTCGGGGCACGTGACCAGGTTGTGGGCTTGATCCCCAAAGTGGGGTATGCAGAAGGCAGCTTATCAATGATTCTTTCTTATCATTGATGTTTCTATCTCTCTCTCTCCCCCTTCCTCTTTGAAATCAATAAAAAATATATATTTTTAAAAAAGTCTCTACCCTATACTAGTATTCTCTGAAGCATGGAAGAAGCTGGAAAAAGTTAGGACTAGGATAGCAACATTCTTGTTCACAAACCAAAGAGGTGTATGGCAAATTCAAACAGATCTTTGAGGAGTGGGGAGGGATAAGAGATGATGCAATATCAGTACTTCTAGGTTATTTTTCACTAAAAATTTAATAAAATATTAAAATAAATTTTAAATGGTGAGAATAGCCTTGTGGTTATGGATTTTTAAAAGATGTTTTAGAAATACATGTTGAGCTCTTTTTTTTTTTAAATTGATTTCAGAAAGGAAGGGAGAGAGAGTTAGAAACATCAATGGTGAGAATCATTGATTGGCTGCACATCCCCTGCACATCCCCCGCTGAGGACTGAATCCACAACCTGGGTGATGCTCAGTCACTGAGCCACACCCAGCCAGACAAATGCAGGTATTTTTTTTTAATCTATGATCAGGACAACTTCTTCTGATGTGAGGAATACCAAAACGAGGCCCACAAAAAAAGTTTGAGGGAAGTAGGCAAGAGCTGAGCTCTAATCAGGATAGCAACATTTCTGTGAGTTGGATAACTAGGAACTTATTTAAACGGATGCGGACAAGTGCCAAATCAGGAGAATGACCACATTTGGAGTTGTTGGTGCTAAAGTGGTGTTCAAGTTGGCACAGACACTGATCCCCAGCAGTGGGGAAAGAATGAGTATGGAGGACTATGCCGTCCACTTAAAATACTGTAGGGAACCCATAGAAACAGCCATGGGTAGCAGGTCTTGGGTCTCAGATAATCATATAGACTATCTTCCTGCTCAATCTCTCTATATAATTTTTTCCCTGTTTTTCTCCTGCTAATCCCTACTCTTCTTTATTTTTTAAATTTTATTTTAAACATATTTTATTGATTTTTCACAGAGAGGAAGAGAGAGGGAAAGAGAATCAGAAACATTGATGGGAGAGAATCATCGATCAGCTGCCTCCTGCACACTCCCCACTGGGGATGTGCCCGCAACCAAGGCACATGCCCCTGACTGGAATCAAACCCAGGACTCCTCAGTCCGCAGGCGGACGCTCTATCCATCGAGCCAAACCGGCTTGGGCAATCCTTATTCTTCTTTATGATCCTTAGGACACTGTTCTCAGAATCCCTGTCCTCTGACTCAAAACCAAGAGCTTTGTGTTAGTCCTTTCTACTACTTCAGCCATGTTTGGCCTATAGGCTTAGAAAAAAAGCTGGATAAAGAAATGTGCTGAGTAACTTACACAAGTAACTCTGCAAGAGCCCATTCTAATAATGCTGAGACTGAGATGCCAGCCAGAGAAGATAGTGGAGTGGAGAACAGAGTACAGAATGTGCTTATGTTCTCTGTGGAGAGTAGAACACACTGGTTACTTAGATTTTTTTTCTTTCAGTTTTTAAAAGGAAAATTTATTTGACAAATTTCACTTAGTGCAATATACCTAAAAGGAAATTACAATACAATGAAAGATTTAAATCAAGGCCTCAGAATTTCATACAAACACCAAGACCAAAATCCTAAAGTATTGGTATTGCGTCTCAAATTTTCCCCGTTAACTTAAAAAAAAAGCTTAAATTACATGCCTTGGGAGTTATTAAATGAAACTAGAATTAACAAACATGCCAAATGTTTCACTTTAAATTGTAGACACAGCTCCTATATTGAGTTTTATTTATTTATTTTTTTTTAAAAAGCATGTTTTTCAACATGCTTCCACAAACAGTGTTCAATGTGATGTGGTGTAAGAGCAACATTTAACATAATTCAACTTCTTTAACCTAAATATACTTACTGCTTAAGTACATCCTACAATAGAACTTGAGAAAAGCTAAAAATTGTTTAACAGTTATAGTTTACTCAACTTAGTTGTTACATCCTAGATGAATATTTGTGTTAAAAAATAATGAACTTTTAAGTCTTTAATTCAAATCCTGATTTCCATTTAAAGTAAGCATAGATCACAAGCTGGTATTGCCAAACTGTTAAGTTTTGTGGGTTTTTTTCTTCTTCTTTAAAATAACTTTGACCAAGAGTCAGTGATAAGGATCAATTACATTCCCCATCCACCACTCATACTAGACATGCTAGACATCCCTCCCATTCCGTTCACTCCCACAGATGCACGGGCTTCCACGACTGTAGTAGCTGCTGTTCACTGATCCTTGGCTGCCTATGCAATGTTTGATTGAAAATCACTGGAGTTTTCCTGTAAAACTTGGTCATATCCACTCATGCTGCTCTGGCCACCGTAGTCACCTCCATAACCACCAATCAGCCGCTGGCTGGTTGGGCCACTATAACTGGACTGGTTTGACAAGCCCATGCCTCCCATCATTTGGCTACCATAAGCACCACCACTTGCTCCTGCTGTAGAATTCAAGAAGAGTTCTACATATCTGTGTTGCATATTTGCTTTGTCTTTCGACATAGCTGCCACAGCATCTTCATGAGTTGCAAACTCGACATCTGCTTCACCACTCTGCCATCAGGCCCAATTTCAATGTGTACTCTCACAGGGTTGAGCGGTGAAAAAAAATTATAAATGTCATTCTCCGTAGCTCTGTAGGGTAATCCCCACATGTGCACATAGTGTCCAGTTGTGCTCTGGAAAGTAGAGCCACTATCCCCGTACCTGTGGTCAGACATTCCTGAAAAACAGTAATTGAGTTCTCTTCCAAATCTATCCAACCCAAAGCCATAGCCATCATTATAGCCATTATAATCATCATAGCTGCCATAACCTCCACCATAAACTCCGCGCCTCATCCTTTCAAAGCCAGCTCCCCTGCCAATGCTGTTTTACCCTCTGCCGGCCCCAGGTCTGTCATACGGACCTAGCCGCTGCATGGCCATAAGCTTTCGTGGTGGGTCATAGTGAATTTTGACTTCTGCTCGACTGCTCTTAAAATTTTCAATATACCTGTGCCCTATTCTTTCCTTGTGTTTCTTTAGAGCCTTTTCAGCTATTTCCTGTGAAGCAAACTGCATGAAGGCCTCCCCCGTACTCCTCCCCTGGAAGTCCACAGGCAATGTTATCCCATTTGGCACAATTTCCAACCCTGAGAAGAACTGAACAATTTCTTCCTTGCTATATCCAAAGGGGAGTCCTCTAAGCCGTACAAAGCCATCATTGGCCGTGTCAGGACTATTTGGACCAGTATGCTTCAACACCCAATCCATTTTAATGTTGTTTGACTTGAATACTTCAACATATCTGTGTCCCATAGTTTCTCTGTCTTTTTTCAGGGCCAATTTGACTTCATCTTCTGATTCAAGTTCAACAAAAGCCTTGCCACTTGGTCTGCCTTCTCTGGTGTAGATGAACCGTATACCTTGAGCCCCATTTGAATTTTGCAGTCAGAAAAAAAGCGCTGCACTTCGTCCGCCGAGCAAGACCAGGGCAAGCCGCGGACTTTCACCCGAACCCCTCTCCGCCTTCGGTACCCAGCATCATCGTCTCTCAGTGGATCTTGGCGCCGAAGCGGACTGATCACACGGCTTCTGCGTGGCTGAGCGAAAATCTGGTTCCTTAAATATTATATGAATAAAGCAGATGTACTGTTTGTTGATGTTATTCTGACTTAAAACTGTTTCTCAAAGAATAACTAACAGCACCCAATAGGTGTGAAGCACCAAGCTTTCAAACCCTGTTTTCAAAAATGGATGGACCCAGATAACTTGCCAGTCTACAACATGTGCAGTAAAGAGCAGGTTCAGATTTTCATGTTGTAGAAGCTGTCCAGAGATATCTGGAGCAAGTTATTCTGTTTGGGAAAATAAAGAGCTATGAATTTAGAAGCTTCTCCTCAATACTCAACTATGAAATCACTAAAACTGAGACTGGGAGACTCTAGGTGAGTCCTTAAATTTCACTGGGCCTTAAATTTCCCATTTATCAAATGAAATAATTAAAATAAATCATCTCTAAAGATCACACTCAGCTCCAAACCTATGATTCCATGAAATACTTAAAACAACTATTTATTGGAAAATTTCAAAAAGGCATATGAAGTAGGGAACATAAGAAAGCCTTAAGCACCAATCACTCTATTTCAATATATGTCCACTTGTGTTTTACCTAAACCCCTACTTACCCTTGTATCCCTACTGCATTATTTTTCTTTTTTGTTCCAATTATAAGAGAACATCCTATATACTAAAAGACTAACATGCAAATTGTCCCTCTTGACCGAAGATAGGGCTGGCCAACAGCCCACAGCTCCTCCCCCCCACCAGCCCCACTCCCAATTGGTCCCCCTCCCTGATTGGGGGCAGGGCCTACCCGACCAACCGCCTGTGTCCTCTCCCCCAGGCTGGCCTGGCCCGATCAGCCTTGATTGGGGCAGGCTGGCCAGACCTCACCCATGCACGAATTTGTGCACCAAGCCTCTTATTTCTTTAGAAAATTACAGAGATAGAAGTAATTCATAGAAGAGGTGGGCTGAGGAAGTGAGGTGGGCTGAGGAAGTGAGTTATGGGGGTAAAGGAAGGGCCCTGGGAGCTTGGGAGTGAGGAAGGTAATGATAATGCACCAGGGAAAAGGGGATGGTGAGGGGAGGGGAAGGAGGAGGGAAAAAGCAAGGCAAAGCCTCTTGGTATGCTCCCAGGCGGGAAAGCCTACCACATTATTTCAAGCATATCTTGGGTATCATGTGAAATAAATTTTAATAAATTATCTTGGAGCAAAGATAGTCTATATATAACAGATCTGATAAAGTTAGTCTTTCCACTTCTGGATACTCACTGCAACTGTAAACATTATCACTAAACTCAGCATTATAGGATATGAAGTATCATATGCTAAACCCAGTTATATCCAGTAAAAGAAGAGCTACCATTAATGAGCACTTGCTATCTTCCAGGTATTACAGTGCTATATTAATTATCCAATGCTGTGTGACAAATGACCTCTAAATTCTGTAGCTGGAAATAAGAAACATTTATTATCTCATAGTTTCTGTGAATAAAGAACCCAGGAGCAGCTCAGCTGGATGATTCTAGCTCAGCAATAGTCACGAGGCTGTAATTGAGGTGTTGGCTGCAGTCATTTCAATGCGCAACTAGGCTAGGACCTAATTCTGAATTCACTTACGGGTTTACCAGATGACATGGTAGCTGGCTTTCCCGAGATTGAACAATCCAAGAGGACGAGAGAGAGAATCTAAGACTATAGCCACAGTCTTTTTTAAAACCCCATTTTGTTAGAGAAATCTCATCACTTCTGATGTATCCTGTATATTTGAAGCCAGTCAATAAGTCTACCACATACTCAAAGGAAGGGGATTACACAAGAGCATAAACCAGGAAGCAGGGATCATTGTAAGCTATAATGAAAGGCAGCCCATCATATACTAAGTATTAATTACTGCTTGATAGTTATAGCTTATTATAAATTAACTAGTGGACCAGTGCACGGATTCGTGCACATTGAAAGGAAATTAATTAGAAGAAATATTTTAATCATTATTCGCCCTTTCTCTATTATAGAAGTATCAGAGAAAAAAAATTAGTAAAATGTACATGAAAATAATTTATAAATTGATTAATAAACAACAACATGATATAACAACAAAGACATGATATAAAAACAACAAAAACATGATATAAAGACATTGATAAAAATAATGACTGATAAATTGGTTAAACTTATTCTAATATTTCCCTGATACCACATTAAGAGTAAAAACACTTTCAGAGTGCTTGGTTAATTTCCCTTGTGATGAAGTATTTACAACTTTAACTTTAATGTCACACGCTCTTCGAACTCGAGAGAAAGCAACATATAACTGATTATGTCTGAGAATGGGTTCAGTTAGAAATATTCCTAGTCTGTCTAGTGTTTATTCTTGTGATTTATTAATAGTCATCACAAATGCTAGCATCATGGGAAACTGTCTTGGAATTAATTTAAATGGGAGGCCAATGTCAGATGGGGACAAATCAATTCTTGGAATCAGCACAACCTCTCCTTCCACAGATCTTGTTAATACTTCAGCTTCGATTATGTTAGGTCACAATCTTTTGATAATAAATCTAGTGCCATTACAAGACCCTATTTACTATTAAGATTTCTCAGGATCATGATGGTTGTACCTACTTTCAATTTTAATTTATGGCACAGCATTTCCAAAGGAGTAATACTATTAAGAAATTCAATGGGAAAAATTTCCTTTTCAGCATCATCTGTTAAATTGATGGAATTATCACTCAAATAGGTGTGAAAATCACGCATATGCCAGTCAATGTTTATTTTTAAATTGCCAGTGCATGTCATATGTACTGGCTGGCAGGCTGGTGGGTCGTATGGTTGTACGGTTGCTCACTTAGCCATATATATATATATATATATATATATATATATATATATATATATAAATGATCTTAATTCTTTTAAAAAAAATATATTTTTATTGATGTCAGAGAGGAAGGGACAGGGAAAGAGAGATAGAAACATCAATGATGCGAGTGAATCATTGATCAGCTGCCCCTGCATGCCCCCTAGTGAGAATTGAGCCAGAAACTCAGGCTTGTGCCTTTGTTGGAGTCAAACCTGGAACCCTTCGGTCCATAGGCCTACGATCTATCCACCAGATAGGGCTGATCTTAATTCTTAATATAATTCCACCCACTTTAAAGATGAGGAAAATTAAGTAACTTGGCCAAGGATGGAGTAGAAGAAAGTGGGGGAAACACAGACTGATTTACTTCAGTCATTCATAAAGTATTTTTATTTATTTATTTATTTTTACATATCATAAAGTATTTTCTAAGAGCCTATTATATATTGGTTATTCTGCTAAGTACAGAGGATATGGAAGAGAAACATGACATGTGAAACTCTGTGACATATGTCAACTACTCTCTCAGGGCTTACAATCTAGTATGGATTTCAGACATTAAGAAATTACAAAAATAATTACAATAATCAGATTAAACTGCTAGAATTATAATACTTGGGTTAAACACAGAGTTGAGCAAAAACAGATAAAAAGAAGTATAAAGTATAAAGGTCTTTGAATATTCCTGTGAAAAGCAATGTTTAGAAGTTTTGGGTTTTGTTGTTGTTTATCCACATCTGATATTTTTCCATTGCTTTTTATTTATTTATTTATTTTTATTTTTTTAAATATATTTTTATTGATTTTTCACAGAGAGGAAGAGAGAGGGATAGAGAGCTAGAAACGTCGATGAGAGAGAATCATCGACCAGCTGCCTCTTGCACACCCCCTACTGGGGATGTGCCCGCAACCAAGGTACATGCCCTTGACCGGAATCGAACCCAGGACCTTTCAGTCCGCAGACCGACGCTCTACCACTGAGCCAAACCGGTGCCGGCTCCATTGCTTTTTAGAGAGAGTGAAAGAGGAGAGACACACAGAAACATAGCTGTGAGAGAGACATATTTGATCATTGCCTCTCGACTGTGTCCTGGCCAAGAATGGGGATTGAGCCTGCAACCCAGGTACATGCCCTTGACTGAAATTGAACCTGTGACCTTTCAAAACTTTTTTTTTTTTTTTAATATATTTTTATTGATTTTTGTACAGAGAGGAAGGGAGAGAGATAGAGAGTGAGAAACATCGATGAGAGAGAGTCATCGATGAGCTGCCTCTTGCACACCCCTTACTGGGGATATGCCCGCAACCAAGGTACATGCCCCTGACCGGAATCGAACCTGGGTCCCTTCAGTCCCCAAGCCGACGCTCTATCCATTGAGCCAAACCGGTCTCTGGGCGAACCTGTGACCTTTAGCCCACTGGCTGAAG